TATAATAAAAGCAATGTGACATATTTAAGAAGATCTAAAGATTTAATCTACATCACAAAAACTTACTTGATTATTTTTAAAGAAAATAGTATCTATCTAACATGTTTCTATCTACTTCTATTTAATTCAATTAAAAAAAACATCCAAATATAATAATATAGTATTGAAAAAACTAGGACCAAGAAAAAAAAATTAAAATAGAATTTGGACCTTATAGGAGGTTGGATTGCCGAAAAAAATAGTTGTAGAGAATGCAAAACAATTACGGTTTCAAAATAAAAAAAAAAATAAAAGAATTGAAGGTTCTTATTTATATATGATGGAATTAAACAAATCTTCATATTATTATCATTATTTTTTACAAAGACCACAAATACTTTTGATATCTCAAAAATTCATGAATAATAGCAAAATTAATTCTTTTTTACTTATAAATATTTATAATATATTAAATATATATAAATATCTTTGATATTATAAAAAATTATAAAATATATTTTATGTATTTTATTTATTCATTAACATGGTTTTTATAATATAATTTTTATTCTTTTTTATTTTTAATTCTATTTTTATACTTAATTTTTTAAAAAATTATATCTATTTTTTTTTGATATAGATGATTATATTAATTATATTAGTATAATTAAATATACAATAATTTATAAATATATTTTTTTTTTATTAATAATCAAAAAAAATATTGATTTATTTTGCAATATTTATTGGTATTTGTTACACATAGAACTATAATAAATAACACATATATTAAGAAATAATATTAAACATTTAATACATCTTAAAAACCAAATACTCATATCTTATTATATTTACTATGTTATATAGATAATTAATTATTATATAAGTAAATTTTTTATACTTACTAAAAAAATATTAATTTATTTTCATTTATTTACATGTTAATTTTTTTAAAGAGTAAAATTAAGAAAAATCACAAACATTAATACACACAATTTTTTCTTATTATAATCTAATTTGAAAAAATTCAAAGTCAAAGTGATAATCAATATTGATTCTTATTTTTATTTTGTTATTACATATACAGTATGTCTTATATATACATAATTTTCTAATATTTTGATTCCATGAATATTATATATAAAAAAATTATGGAAAAATAAAATATTTAAAAAATAATATCAATAGAATTTATCTGTTTTTAAATATTCATAATATAATAATAATACAAAATATCAATGTAATAGATAAATAAAATATTAAAAAAAGTTATATATATTATTATATTATTTTATAATATTTTTTTATATTACAAATGCTAATGTTGCTACCAACATCAATATCTAAAATTTTCATAATAACTAAATTGACGTTGGAACTTTAATTTTTAGTCACTCTATCAAAAGAAAATACAAAAATATATTTTTTCAGTATGCACTTGTTCAAAAACAATTTAATGATTGATATTGCCATCCATCCAATTCCACAACACTGTGTATTTCTACTCCAATCAACATCTACAACAAAGCAAAACCTAAATATTTTGATTGGTATAATATTGTCCAAATGCTTGATATATGTGCACTACTATATTTTTATTTAAAATTATATATATATATATATATATATATATATAATGAATATTGGTTTGATTGTACTTTTTTTTCTTAATATTTATAAATCCTCAAAAATATCCACATGGATACTTTTCTAGATTTTCCAAAATTTCATAGGTTTATCCTTTAACTTATCCACATGCTCTACTACTAAGTAATGCATGCAAAAATATCTCTAAAACAATGACACTAAATACCAACTTTATTGAAAAGGGAGGGAAGGAGAGAAGATACCATAATACATGTACTACAATATAACAAAACTTGTATGTCATAAAATAAACAAGACATAAAAATGCATTAAAAACCAAAATATATGTAACAATTAAAAGAATTATATAATAATTATATATATATATATATATATATATATAGGAAATTGATGCATTGATTAGATTTTTTACAAAATTGATCCTATATTATAACCATTTATGTACTGCACAGCCAAAAAGTAAGTAAAACCCTCTACTAAACAAATGGCATCAATATTTTATAATATTATGTAGAAGTCACTTGATCGTAACAAGTGATCCATATTTGATTAAAGAATTCTATAGAGAGTTGATAAAAGACTAGTTGAACTTGCATCATGATTTGACAAAAATGTCATTTTTGCTCTCTCTTTCTCTCTCTTTCTCTCTCTCTTGCTTTTACAAAAAGTAAGGTAACTATTTCAACCATGATATGATAATAACTTGAACCTTGATTTAAATGCTCAAATCTCACCCTTTAACCACACTACACCATGACAAGCTTCCCACATGCACTCCACACCCTTCCACATGCTTTTGTTTCTTGGATTTTTTACAAATTAATAGAAGTATGTAATACATTGTTGCTAAGGCACAATGTACTATGCTTTTGTATTCATTAATGGATTATTCTTTTTCCTTTTTCTTCCTTTCAATAAGTACCTACAACCATCGCAATACATGCAACAACAATAGCACCAAATTTAGCCATCTATTGAGTGGATCTATGTAATACTAGAGGAAAGAGAGGCCAACTTAAAAGATTTTGCCTATTGTCATGGATTTGTACTTTAACAAATGCACAACCACACGTTCTTTAATACAAGACTTACATGCATTGTCTTTCTTTGCTATGTCCATCAATGTAAGCATACTATCAGTGGTATGATTTGAGCCACCACATCTAAATAATGTTGGTGTCTCTTCTAAATCAAACTATGATGTACCTCATGAGAAGAGGATGCAACATGGACATCTTACGTAGTAAATGCAGAACACAACTACTGCCTAGTCATTGATATGGCAGCCTATCTATCAATAAGAAACTTGTCAACTAACAAAATTTGAAAGATTTGAAACTTCTTTGATGTTGGTGCCTCTTCTCAAGTTGTCTATATTATAATAATACAATTGAATCTGAATAGTAGATGCATTTGAAGGAATATATATAACCTTTGAGATGCCTTGAAATGAGAAGAATTTAATAACAAAACTTCTTTAGAAGTCCTCTTAGATGAATTAGAGAGTAGTAATGTCTTCTAGACAAAGAAATTAGACAACAATGGTAGGCTTTTTCACTTGTTCTTTGCACCTTCTAAGGTAATTGAACTGACACACCAATATAAATATGTACTCAACATTATCTTATTGGAATCAACATATAAGAAAAATTGCTTTTGAATGCCATTACTTCATGTTGCTACCAACACAAGCATTAATCAGTCTTTTTTGCTATGTTTTTGCTTTATGTATGCAGAGAAAGAAGACAACTATGTTTGATCTCTAAAATAAATATTATTTGTGTTTACATCAATGCTTCCATATGTTTTCGTGATCAATTGCGAGCCTTCATTGATGCATGTAATGGACATTGTCTTTCCAAATGTTGGAACATAGCATTTGCTATGCTTGTGGCACATTAAAAAAAATGTACTATCAAATGTCAAGCCCATTATCTAAGATGCCATTGCTTTTGAGGTCTTTATGATGACATAGAAGAGAGTGGTCTACACAATCTATATCAAGGAGTACAAAGAAGCCATGAATGGCCTAAAATGTGATTTTGATAGTGTTGTAATGAGATATGTTAATATAATTTGATTGTCTCCATATTATACAAAGTTTATGAAACTTTAGACTAATCAGATTTACCATTATGGCCATTATACAATATCATGGCTTGAAGATCTACATCGTACATTAAAGGATCGGATCATGATTTCCAGAGGCAACCTTAATGATGTATGTAAGAAGATTAGCTTGGCCATCAATGCTCAGTTGGCTAGTTTGACAAAGGCTAGTTTATGATGCTACATGACACTTAACCACACATTCCAATACTATATTGTGCAAGGTAGTTTATAAAATTTTGCATTATGCCTTGAAAGTAGTTGCAAAGGAATTCAAGCAAGCACAAAGCATATCAATACTAACCATACCTTGCTCATATACAATCACATTGTCAATGGATATGTCTTGTCTACATAGATTTTAAAACTTGATACAAGCTTGAAAGGCTTTGGAAGTTGACAATTTTAATCGCCATTGGTGGCTCACAATGCAAAGTGCTACAATAGAGCATGCTCACAAAATACATAATTTGGTATGGCTTGGCTAGCAACATAGGTTTATAGATGAGATTATATGCATTTTGGAAACCACGACCAATCTTGTCACTAATCTAGTACCTACTGAAGTCTATGATAGACATGTACTCATAGGAATTCTTTATTGTTTCAACATAGGATAGCAAATCCACAACAATGTAAGCATTACTAAAGAACCACCATGATTGTCAAAACTATCATGTTCTTTGAGCAAAACAAGGCTCTTGATCTATGGCAATCTTGGAAGCTAAATGCCTTGGTTGTATTGATATTTTACCTTTTTGAATGCTTTTGTCTGACAATTTTTGGATGCATTTCTATGCATATTTGAGGCAATATTGAACATTTAAGCCAAGATTCAAGTTGCTATCATATCAGAGTTGAAATAGTTACCTTACTTTTTATGTGTGAAAGAGAGAGTTCAAAAATGGCGTTTTTGTCAAATCATGATGTGAGTTCAACTGATCTTTATCAACTCTTTATGGAACTCCCTAATCAAATATGGGTCATGTATTACAATCATGTGTTCCCTATATGTTCTCATAAAATATTGCTACCATCTATTCAGTAGAGGGTTTTCTTTACCTATTGGTTATGTAGTACATAAATGATCATAATGTAGGATCAATTTTGCCAAAACCCTGGTCAATGCATCAATTCGCATATGTATATATATATATATATGTAAATTATAATCTACTTGGCTTCCTTGTGAAAACAATGCACAGTGCGGTGCCCTGCCAAACTTTTGCTTTTTTGCTTATTCCCCTTTGCTTTTTAGGGTTTTGGAAGCGGGTGTGCGGCAATTACTTTGCAGCGGGTCCCGCAGAGATGCCCTGAAGATTGAAGCGGCACCGGCGCTGCTCGTTGAAATTCCTTAACTCAATCGAAGGCAATCTAGCGCCAAGGTCTCTGAAATCTGGACGCTCATATAGTTGCGAAGCCGATAGGCACGAAGACATAACTGTTTTGTGTGCAGGAATTGAAGAGGATTGAGCGTGTTTGTGTGAGAATGTTGCGAAGTGAAATTGTTTGTGTCCTTGAACCTCAGCTTCTGAATCCTCTGTTGTTGCCTTGCCGAAGGAAATAGGTATTTGATTAGCTTCTTGGATTGATTTAGTGCTGCGAGAGCCCCGCAGCACGATTCATCTTTGGTGTGGCATTCATCTTCGGATAGCTTGTCAAGGCTTTTGAACCACAGGGTCTGTGTGAATAAAAATCGCGACAATCCCATTCAGAGTACCGTGATGCGGGGTTAATCATGCACATTCACCTCTCTTAGTGAGGGCGGAGGAATTGTACTCGAAGCCTGAGACACATCAGTCTGACTCGAATTTGCTTCGATTTGGACTTAGGGCAGAAGTGGTACAACACTTATGGCTTCTGCGGCTTTTCATCTCAATCGTCAGCCATGATCTGAATCCCCAAATTCTGCACATCAAGGATTTGTGTTACTGCTATACTCTACTCTGGGACAATCAAACTTGCGATGTGAAGGCTGAGTCATTGCTCGCTAGGATTTGATCACGGCTCTTACCCTCGTTGGATCTGATTGAAATGGGTACAGGTTGAAACCCCTGTGATGTCGGCCAAGATTTTTTCTTATTCTTCAATGGCTGAGAGTGTAAACGTATGCGTGGAACACACATTTATTCTCTTCCTTAAGATTTGAGACTGTGTTCTGCATTTGAAATGTTGCAGGTAGGTATTGTTTCGCAGTAGATATTGATTTTCAACCTTAAGTTAGATAGACCACTAATATGCCGAGAGGTTTCACATCAACGTTTCAATTCCTGGGGTGTCTTGTTGGGTGGATCTGATTTGGGTTGGTTTAAGTTGGAGACTTCAAGAAGACCTCAAGGAGCAGATGAAAAAACACCGACATGATGAGAACATCATGGGGCTCAATACGGAACATCATTCGGATGTCACCCTACCGAATTCTTTGGCCTTGGTCCAAAACGTAACTACTTCGAGCAGGTCTTTACACTCAATCGTGTATTCTTCAAAGAAATAGCTGTTGCTCTGAAGCTCTTCACTTAACTACTACATTTAGCGGAGGGAGAGGCCGTGTGGAGAAATGCAGTGAACTTGTCTTGATTTAGACGAGAGTAAGTATGATAATAGACAGTTTAAATGATCTTGCTTTACAGGTCCCTCGCGTTGCTCTTCATCTGGAGCATCTGGGGATGGTTCGTGCGAAGCAACACTCACCCTCACCCACGAATGGTATGGAAGCAGAGCGACCTAACAATATCAACCCTATTTTTGTACATCTGTTTAATTAAGGCTACCCTAATATTAATTTATGGTCCAAATGAATCAAACTCGCTCAAATTATATGCTCACTTACATTTAAATATGTTTATGCACACACACAAATTGAGCATAGCCTTAAAATGTCTCTTGGCTGCTTTCATGTGAGGCGAGAGCGCGGGCCATTCCACTGGGACATTAAATGATCCCAGAGATGTAGTTATATGTCACCCGCACAGAACATTTCAATTAATTCCTTGTTGATTCCTTTTGTTGATGTTCTCTTTTTTGGCATGAAATTCAGTTGTGAAAAATATTTCTTGATAAAAATGCTGTAGATAGCTAATTAGCACGATCTTTCGAAATATTTATGCTGATGAAGTCTGCTTGGTGGACGATGTCGATCCTTGATCGTCGCGATCTGTACAGACTCTGTTTCTCGTGTCCAACGAGATAATGTCGAAGGGAATTGTTCCTGGAAAGCACATAAGTTTATTGAATGCAAATAAACACCGTACATGCGCCAGTATAAGAAGGAGAAATATGAAAATGCAGATTATATTGGATCATCGAAGGTATGGAAGCTAAGAAATACATGCCCTAATTAATGAAACTTGCAAAATATTCACTTTCAATCCTTGGATGCTCTCACTATGCGTACAGCTCTGTGAGATTTGTGGAGTGTCATCGGAGATCGAACGCACGAGTCCCTCATCTCAACGCTATAAGTTGTTTCACATTCCTGAGCAAAAGAAGTGCACCATGACCAGCATGTCAATGGCCACTAGACTTGTACAGTATCAGTTCGACATTGGTTGATGGGTTTTCAGCAAAGCGTCTTCAACATGTTTTCTGAAATTTGCACTTCACGTCAATCCTTGTATTGATTGCCACTTAAGGAATTATGAGAGAGAAGCATAATTAGTTGTGGAAGGTGCATCCGTCCTGAGAAAGTACAATAGTCTTCAGAGTTTCAGGGTTTCAGGGTTTAGTATCATCGATATTTTTATGATAGAATATTATATTGTCCATGGTTCAGATTTCGAACGAACCCATTGTTCAAAGTCGAGATGTTGCTGTTCCTGTTTCGGAACACACTGTTTCTGCTTCTGTTTGTCTGATGATAACCTCTGAGACACAGTGATATCGTGTGGTTCACATTTCGCACCACCTTTCGAGTGATGACAGAAACAAACAATGTGTAATGAAATGGGCAAAAGTTGTACCACTATTGCACCGACTTCAAGACCGCAAACTATTTACAGTCCCTAAGCGGCATCCCAATCACCCTGACCCTTCGAATGGCGGTAAGCGCAGCCAGCGAATCTGATGTTCAAATAGTGTAAATAATTGAACCGCAAGTTTAGATTCTGCGATTTGCACCGCTCAAGAGTGCACTAGGACCTCCTTTGGATATTCGTAGCTCATTAATGGCACTCTCAGAATAGATCCTTGATGTCCAAGACAAGGATTCTCATGTGTACTTAGGGGTCGAGAGGACATATTTTAAATAGGGGTCACGGGAGTAGAAACTCCTGAGCCAGGTTTGCCTGCCCCTAGATACAGTTCCACTGCTTATTCAAGGACGCAGAGCATGTCCAGTAACGCCTTTTTGCAAAGACACAATAGCTGAGATGAGCAATGAGCGGTGTGTTAAGGGTCGAAAAAGATCCGCATGGGTAGTTTTTCCAGCGCTGGCACTGTTCATGGGTGTGCTCTGAGAGCGAACCCAAGTTGATGTTTGAATCTGTCTTTGTTCCCAAGATAGAAAACTGTTTTCTGTTCGTGCGGTGTCATGCTTCCAAAGAAGTGCTACCTGCAAGAATTTTGTGAACCGTCTATTGAGTCAATCATGTTACTGCCCATGCTGTCCTTATGCCATTTTGAATTCAACGTGCTTCCCCACAGTCAAGCTCGGTACTGTCAGAAAATGTATTTTTTTAGAAGAGGATGCTGCCGTCGCCATAGTCTCACGACGTTGAAGCACTGTAGAACGTCTTCGTTGTCGCTGGGTCGAAGCATCAAATGCTAAGTCAATCTCTCAAGGTCCCGGTTGAAATTCGAATGGCGGAGCAATTCATTTTCCTATCGAAAAGTGTGAAAAGTTTTATCGTACGTGCGGTACCACACGTTCCAGATCTTTGGGTTTCCTCTAAGGTTTCACCCTCAGTCGCTTGGCAACCTCTCGTTGATTAGAAGAAGCGCAAAAAGTACCGGAGGCGAGAGTTCCATTGCAGCTCGCGGCCTTTCCCTCGCACTGATTCAGCACATTCGTCAAAGCGGCTCAACATGTGATAAAAATGGGACTCTGGGAAACCTATCGAGATTCTGTGACATTCCATGACGATGCCCAGAAATTTTTACTTGTGGCTTCAGCATGCTGACCCAAGTTTACAGTCTATGACGTAGCAACCTGGAAAGCAGATGGACGATTCCTCTGGGATTAAATGTACATTATTACATTCCGAAGGGTGCATGGTCACATTCCGACGTCATAGAGCTGAGTTCAATGACCGCCTGGAGAAGGTTTGCGTGGGGAATTGACTGTCTGGAAAATGTTCACGTAACACTGTCTTAAATAAAGATTGGTACAGACGCAACTAGAAGATCCTTCATTGCCTGTGGAAGGCAAGGCTGAGGTTGGGCTCTCGGAATCATGAAGTAGACCACAACCCTGCTGACGTTTTGTGACATCAGTCGCCTACCGCACCCCCAACGGATGTTCCTTTTCAGCTCATGTTCATGATTCCGAACAGCACTTCGTTAGCCTTGTTGCTTCGAAGATGCACGCAAGGGCTGATTCGTGGCGACGGAAATTTCAAGAGGAAACGCCAGGGGTGTCGAACATAATAGTTGGAGTATTGTGCTAGGCTGAGTTGAACTCCAGGTTTGCATTTCCGCCACCCATACGTGTCGAGCTCGCATGCTCCATGAAGTCACCACCTCGGGCTTTTTGTTTTGTTTTGTTTTGTTTTTTGTTTTTTTCCCTCTACGCTTTGAGTTAGATGGCTTTTGCACAATTCTTTTGAACCAAGCACCGGGTTCCCACGCATGACGTTGGATCTTGCACCGCGACCTTCAGGGTTACGGAGCTTCCACGCCAGCTTCCATCAGCAGATACTCCAACTGATTCAAATTCCTTGCAAAATATATGGATAAGAAGAAAACCTTACTAGGAATGACACTGTCTGCTTTTCCTTCCTATCTTCCTTGCCTCTTCAGCTCACAACACCAAATCAAATACATGATCAATAGTCTCCGAGTTGGTAACGGTTCCATCGTCCTAGATACACATAAGCCCCCGAAGTCCCACCAGAGGCCCCTGGCGGCTACGCGTGTGCGAGCTGGTTGTGAACATGCCGTGACGCGCAAGTCGATTCAAGAGGATCTTATCCAAACCCCCATCCAGCAACTTCCACCCGAATGCAGCCGATGCCGCCACATCACGAACCTGAATCCTGAACCAGTGCCCGAGCACGAGGGACGAGACTTCTCTGCCCCATCCGGCCGTTCCCCTAATCAAACCAACAGTAGAGGAAGAAGAGAGGAGAACAATAGGGGAGACGTGGAGACCCTGTCTGTAGAGTTAGTTCGCTCCGTGAACCTGCAGCGCAACCTTCCGTGAAATCCATCAAAAACCGACTTCTGTCTGTAAGCGTCGGTCTTCGCGACTTTCACGTGTGCAAATTTGCGATGGCAGTTGCGGATAGAGTCAAATGCTGCTATAGTGGACGACGCTTGTGAAGGCGCTTCATTCCTTCTAGAGTTTGCATCTCCACATGAAGATGCTCGGTGCGTAACGGCGCGGGTGGTCGTGGGGCTGTGGCGGATTCCTCCTCGCGCGATGCTTGCTCGCGTCGCCCTCGCGTCGCCGCGCCGGCGCCTCGCTACGCCGTCCAACTCATTCCACCACGTATTGAAAAATAACATAAAGCACAAAACAAAACAAAAATAAGTAAATGAATAAATAAATAAATAAGGAAAGCTTGGTGGATGGGAAGGGGTAGGGATTTTTTGTTTCTTTCTTTCTTTCTTTCCTTCATTTTATTTTAATTTTAATTTTGTTTTTCCCTCTACTCTCCTTTTATCTATTGGAGTGTAGAAGACTAGAGGGGCTTGCTTGAGTGCTCTTCTATGTGTCTTGTATTCTATAAGATAAAACAAGTGGAGTTTACATAAAAGAAAGTCTTGTGATGTGAGAGATTTAGATGCTTTTAAATTGGTTAGAATTGTTGTGATTTTTTATTTTTTATGAATATGTCTCATATTCTTGGATGTGTTTAGAAGTATTCTATTTTTAAAGCAAATTCACATGATTGTTGTGTTATGATTTTCTTTTATATTTTCATATTTTCTCACTTTTGAATAATTTTAAGTACTTTTTTATTTAATTCAAATTGATATTTGATTTTGGAAGATTTTAGGATACAAAAAATGTTGAATTCGATTTCTATAGCTTAAAAATTAAAGAAAGAAGAAGAAGGTAAGAAAAAGTGTTTGTTTTAAAATAAAAATCAAAGTCGGTTATGTTTGATTTTGTCAATAATTTCTGCTTGGTAAATACCTCTACCAAAAGTGTTAGCTTTGTTGAATTACAATAAGTTATAAACTCTTTGATTGCAGTTTATAAGGCTTAAATGCTACAATGTTTTTAATTTATTTCTAAAAGAACACATTCCAAAACCAAAAGATGCACTCCATCAAATCCAAGTTAACAAATTTTAATGCTTGTTCTTGTCTCTTATTAATGGTCATTACATATAATGTGCAATAAGAATTGTTTACATCACAATACAAAAAAGTAAAAATACTAATATAAAACTAAGGTGATTTGTGGTATCTAACATATACAATTCACTTGCTCTATTGCTAGAATTTTCACCTCCACAATTTGTACAACAAACATTCTATAAGTAAATTTAGTTCTTCTACTAAACTCTACCATAACATGTAGTATTTAATATTTTTGCCTTGATCATTTGTAAACCAATTATTTCACTATTTTTTACTTTGAAAGATGTAATAAAATCATTTATTACTTTCCTTATTTTTAAAAATGGACTAAAGAGTTTCATCATGACTTTACTCATCCTTTTAAACCTTAATAATGATACATACACACACCACATATACAAAAAAATCACAATAAAAAATAAAAAAAATAAAAAAAATAAAAAAAAATCTATAAATACATACATGCTTACATACATACATTCCAAAAATGAAGGCAAGAATAAATCTGAAAAAAATAAACAAGCTCCTCTATTAGTTGAAAGAATATGTGTTTAA